CCTCCTCCTCCTCCACATTTTCATTGTTTCCCCTCCACCACCACCACCGTAACCTCTTTATTGTTTTCCCTCCTCCTCCTCCTCATTTCTATTGTTTTTCCTCGAAAGGCCAAAGAGGCCAAAATCACGCCTAAAAGGCCTAGAAGGCCAAACTTGGAGGAAAAACAATAGAAATGAGGAGGAGGTCGAGGAGGAGGGCGAGGAGGAGGGAAAACAATAGAAATGTTACGGTGGAGGTGGTGGAGGGGAAACAATAGAAATGTGGTGGTGGTGGTGGTGGAGAGAAAACAATAAAAATGTGGAGAAGGAGGAGGGAAAACAATAACGATCCTACATCGACCCTACATCGACCCCACATCGACCCTACATCGACCCCACATCGACCCCACATCGACCCCACATCGACCCCACATCGACCCTACATCGACCCCACATCGACCCTATCAAAACAATCAAAATGAGGAGGAAAAGGAAAAAAATCAAAATGAGGAGGTGGAGGAGGGAAAACAATAGAAGTGAGGAGGAGGAGGAGGGGGAGGACGAGGAGGAAAAATAATAAAATTGTAGAGGAGGGAATAATAACATTGAGAAGTGAAAATAATGAAATTGAGGGAAAATATCAAAATTGTGGTGGAGGGGAATAAAAAACATTGAGGAAGGAAAATAATAAAAAATTGTGGAGGAGGGAATAAAAACATTGACGAGGGAAAATAATAAAATTGTAGAGAAGGGAAAAAGAAAAAATTGAGTAGGGAAATAAAATTGAAAAGGGAGCGGTAGGTAAAACATTGTGCGCAGTGTAATAAAAGAGCTAGTTTGTCTTTGCCCTCATTAATATGCACGATTTGCCCGCCAAAAGTCAGTGAACCGGAACTACGACAATCACAGCAGCAGCAAATAGGACTTGCATAATTACATTACCCCTCCGTGATTTTAAGCCACAGACAAGTTTGACTTTACTCCTCAGACAGTATGAATTCACCAATAAAAACGTTTCTTATTTTCCAACTAACCAATCGAAAACGAAGACGTTTATCGACCTTAAAGTAACTAGAAATCCTAAACCAACTAAAAATAGCACATGACCTTATCTTAATGGCATCCCTGCGCATTTTATTCATGAGATCAAGACAAAAGGTTATGACGTCATTGGCGTTAGTTTATTCCTGCCCAAGTTAATGAAATTCCTGCCCAAAAAAATGGCGTAACCGGTCCCTCCTATACTACTATTGTAGGCTTTTTAATTCTACTCTGCAAAAAAAATACCGTGTCAAATTCCTGACTAGACCCTATTAGGCCAACTTGCGATACTGAATTTATCTTTCTCAGGCTTTTAATATGTTCTCTTGTCTTTGTTCAACTGATCCGATTCCAAGTGTCCCAGTTCGACTTCTGTCCTGAATACGTTGAAAAGAAACCTAATAATGAAATATACATAATTTATTTAGCTTCTCAAAACCGCGAGTACAAATATCTCACAATGTACTCATAAAAATATCCACCGATACTCGACACACTAAACCGTCCAATAAGATATATGTATTTTTAATTTTTCCTCCCTTATAACAAAACGTCTTCAAATAATTGCTCTGAACACCAATCAGTAAAGCTAGCGTATATGTTTTGATATTTAGATACAAAACACTCAGAGTACATGATCTGTAGAAGTAAATCGGGTAAAACATGTTGAAATTATAGTGAAAGAATTATGCCATGAAGGAGTGCCCCGATACCGAGCGACCAATCTTATTATAGTAACATTAAAAAATGTCAAACAAACTTAGATTTATTGCTTTTTTTTCGCATGGTCAGCAGCTATGCATAGTTATTGGAACATAAGAAATTTTGCACATGAAAAAATAGTTCAATCCCCACAGGTCTCCAGGGGATTTTTTTTTTGTACACCAGTAATACGAGGTAGCGTGGCCGAGTGGTCAGCACATGGGACTCGCAATCCGGGGGTCCTGGGTTCGAGTCCCGCTCTGCCCACTTGCTGGATTTGTTCTCAGTTGTCTCGAGTTCAAATCCTCGGCCACACTTGTAAATAGTCAACTGGGTGCCTCCTGTCAGTTGGGGTTTTTAATCTTGTTATGTTGTATTTGATCAAAGAGTTATTTTTTTTTATTTATGAGTAGAGTGCCTGTAAACTAGCTGGATAAGCTAAGTGTACTTTCCATTGTAAACAAGCCTTTAAACCTCTTTTTGGGGGCGCCGTGAAGTCATCTGAAATCGATCTCTATACGCCGAATTCAAATTCTATTATATAAAAAAAATCAGTTAGATCAAGCAGAGTTTAATCAAACATAGTGAGAATTAATAGACACTACTGTGTTATACGCAACAGTTGAAATTTGTGATTAAAGTTATCAGATTAAATGAGTTTATTTGGAACCAAATAAAAAATGTCTCCCCTTCCAATTTCTTCAATGCATGGATTTTGGGGGGGTGGGGTCGATTGCGGCTGCAAAGGCTTAGAGGCTCTCGAATGTGAACTTTGAATTATCTTACAATGGTTTACGATCGCATGAGAATCACAAGACGAAAAGTAAAATTACTTTTGGGTAATAATCACGAGCTCCTATGACAAGACCACTCGTAGTAAATTTACTTAGCCTCGATCTCATTATCTCACGGAGACCCTTTATAAGAGGGTGTAACCTTTTGTTAATCCTCTCGGTCTGAAAGCTGACATCAAGCCGAATCTTCGATAGCTGACCCGCTTATCCTTTGAACAAGCAATCGACCCACCTCCTCCCCAATCTTCCACCTTTTTTACTTGCTTTAGGTATTTTTTTGTAGTTTAGTTGCCTTTTTTCTTCTGGCCCTCACCTTTGCTAGACCTATAAATTCGTAAACATTATTTCATATTTTAACATTGATAAGATGATTTTACAGTTTTGAATAAAACCGGCCATGAACTTGGCCATGTTTTTTAATCCCAGACCACAGTCTCGGTTTTCTTTGTTTCCTAAGATAGGCGTCTAGCAAACAAAGCTCGGCTGTTGGCAGTAAAGGGGGGTTTATTGTTAATGTTTCGGTAAACCGGGGAGGAGACATAAAAAAACAGAAATGACTTTTAACAAAGAGGCTAAATTGAGGGGAAGGATATGTGTAGGAGTGAAATAATCTACAGATTGTTCGTCAAATAATGAAGTAGGTGCATTTAAAAAGTCAAGGCGAGCTGTAAGTCATTACTTAAGACCGTTGTCACTCCTAATGGAAGACTTATCAATGTTCGCTTCATCAGGAAACAGGAAATGCTCCCGATAGGGGAACTATCTTTAATGGCGGTTATTAAATCCTAAAGCAATTATTTCACAAAATATTGTGCAATTTCTGTGCAACGTACTAGTTTGTCGGTCTGTTTACGGAAATAACAGGCTTTTCATTTATATCATTGCAACTATCGTCACGCCTCTAGGCACTGGAGTTCTAATAACATGGAGTTGGCCTTTTTGCGTAATTTTTCAAATAGCCTATTATAAACATAATCAAAACTATAACAAAATTAAATTCTTAAATCTGATTGGCCATCAACTGCCCTGATTTCAGCCTTTATTACATCCACTTTGAAATCACTGGCTATCCGTGCAATCTGATTGGCTCTCAGCAGTGTGATTTATTCCTAAATCGCACCATTTTTTGCGCTAAATCGCATCTGTTCCAAATCGCGTCATTCATGTTCTAAATCGCATCATTTCTGTTTTAAATCGCACCATTTTTGTTCTATATATTGCATCATTTCTGTTTCGAATACAAAATGAGATGTAAAATCCTTTTTGTTTCGGCTTTTTAACAAACCGGCTACTCGATCAATAAAATATTAGTACTGACTAAATTCTGCGATTTCAAAATGGATGTAATAAAGTGGTAATTGAACTTCGTGTCGTGCAATTTTGGTCTGAAATCATACTTGTGATTTCAAATCAAACTCGCGCTGCGCGCTCGTTCGATTTTGAAATCACGCGTATGATTTCAGGCCAAATTGCACTCCACTTAGTTCAATTACCATTATTAATAGGACAGTTAAATAGGACAGTACGCGTCATGCCTAAGTAATTGGACAGTACGCGCCATCACGCGCGCGCTTAAATGGCTTTATTTTTTTTCACTGATAGCAAAAAAATCTCGGAATTTCTTGTGTTTTCATTTAAAAAAAGAGCCTAATATGTCACAATTTTTTTTAACGTTATGATTAATTGGTAAAAGAACTTCGTGTCATCCAATTCGGTCTGTAATCATACTGGTGATTAAACAAATCGGACTCCCGTATGATTACAGACCGAATTGGACTCCACTCAGTCCTCTTACAATTACTTAGGGTCTCTTTAAATTGTACCTCCTAAATTTCAGGACGCTGTTAATGTACAATTACCCCTAAAACCTCTATGTCCACGACACTTAAAGCTACTTGTCTTTCCTATATCTCGAGGTACCATATTTTCACCTCCTCTTAACATTACACAAAGTTCCAATTTTAATTTAGAACAGAACCTTCCTGACAAACACCTATGCTGTGATCCTATCCCTCGGATTAATTAAATTTGATGAAAGTAGACGGTAAACAGATCTTATGAATTATGGAGTATTAACTTTAAATTGTAACTGCTAAATCGCTGAACGCCGTTAATATATCAACTACCCTTTAGAAAGTGTTTACAACCTGTATGTTCACGAAATTTTACGCTACTTGTCTTTCCAATAACTGGGGTGCAATATTTTCACCCCCTTTTTTGGCGTTAAACAAGGTTCCAATTTTCAACTTTGTTTTCCTTACTGTAATTTAGAACGGAACTTTCGTGGCAAACACCAGATGCTATTGCCCGGATTAATTAAATTTATTGAAAGTAGACGCTAAACAGAACAAACACTACTTGATTTTTCTTAAACATCTAAATTTGTTTTCAGTTGGGAATCACCGTTACTGGATGTGGTTTCGCCAACTGGATAGCAACTGGAATTGTGGTCATCAGATCGTTTAAAAAGATTCTAGTTCAACAATGGTCGGCACTCTCGAGCCGCGCAGTACAGCCATAACAGTTGTAGAGGCCGGAGCAATGATTGCATTAAATATCATTTCGCTTTTGGGCAACGTCCTAGTTTGTTTGTCGGTTTACAGAAATAACAGGCTCCGCACCACAACAAATCTGTACATCATTGCATTGGCTGTAACTGACTTGATAGCTGCAACTTTCGTCATGCCTCTAGCTACTGGAGTTCTCATCACAGGAAGATGGCCTTTTGGTGAAACGGCTTGTCAAATACACGCTTATTTCGATCTTTTTGCGGTGTATGTTTCGCCTGTAACCATGGGTCTTACTGCCCTTAATAGATACACAAGAATATGCAAATCAGATCAGCAATATAATCTATTCTTTTCGAAGAAAAATCTTTATTTTTCTTGGATTTTCCTGACCTTTGTTGCTCTCTGGATTTTTACTCCCTTGTCTTACAGGTCTACAAGAATTTATTTTGTGCCGAGCTATGCAGGTTGCTTAAACAGGCAGATGAGTGATCTAGCAAAAATACTACACTATATCGTCGTTCTTGGCTTGTTTTTCGCACTTCCATTAGCAGTAACAATATTCAGCTACAGAAAAGTTTTGAAAAATATTCGGGAACACAATACTGGAACGGCTCGAAATCTTCGAACAAACAGCAACGAGACAGTCACAACAAAAGAAATTGACTAAGCAAGTCTCTGTTTGTTGTCGTCTTTGCCTTCATGTTGTGTTGGCTACCCGCTTGGGTCATCACCATCCTGACGAGATTTTTGTTTGGCAATAAAATGCCGCGCAATGTTCAGTTACTTTGCCCTTTTTCCTTAAATATTTCGAACGCTATTAATCCTTCATTTATGCTGGAATGAATCCTGTGTTTAGAAGAGAGTTTCGAAGATTACTCGTATGTAGATTTGGCGGAGAGAAAGTCGACAGTCATCAATTAGAAGACCAACCACCTCGTGGGTAACTGCCCAAAAAACCTCTGCATTTATGGTTCCAGCGATCCCTGAGAACACCTGATCACAGACTTAGTATCCACAAAGAGACTGTTTAAGAAGAGATGGAAAGCGTCCAGTTCCAAGCAATCAAGGATGAAAAGGCCGGATGAAAAGATGACAGTAACCGATGCAATAATCTCTTTAGTTTAAGTTTCATTCAGTTTATGGTGGTCTTAAGTAAAATAGCCTGTCATCTTTGCTAACACACGCCACTTACCAATAAAACGCAATTTGCTTTAGTCAAACAGACAATGCCAAGTCATATTTTCTCAGTACAAATACTTCCGTTCTCTGCAGGCAGGTCCGCTTTTGGCTGGGTTATGCCTCTAAATTGTTGATTATCTTTGTGCACATTTTTCATTTTGTAGATTGGTAACTGAAGTTATAATCAGCAGGCATTCGAATAAAGCATTGAGCAACGAGGTAAAAAAGTCGAGAAAAAAACCTCTTGCAGGTCGTCAATTTAATCTGTAAAGAATTTGTAGAAAAAGGTACAAAATGGACTTTTGGAACAGAAGTAACTGTTCGAAATTGACGGACCGGGTGTGCCTGTGCATTAAAGGCCAGTGTTATCATTTTCTACATGGGGTCTATCTATCACTAGGCGGACCTCAGCCCATGTTTGAATGTTTTCGTAAAAACGCCAAAAACTCAACCTACCTCATATTAGACCTACATACGCATAGTTAAACGAAGCTAGTTAACACATTTATATCTTACTTTATCATGATCAGTTCTATTTTACAACACAATAAGATCTATACATAATTAATTCTACAATATTGTATGTTTGTAAATTATACTCTGCAAGATAATTCCGTGTCGAATTCCTGTGTCATTCCTGACTGGGCCCTATCGGGCCAACTTGTGATACTGAATTTATCTTTGTCAGGCTTTTATGTTCTCTTGTCTTTGTTCAACTGATCCGATTCCAGTTGTTCCAGTTTGACTTTGTCGTGAATACCTTGAAAAGAAACCCGATAATGAAATATACATCATTGTAATTCAGTTTTACTCAGTTAAGTACAATTAACAAGCAAAATTAGTACAAATATCTCACGGTGGACTCATAAAAATATACTAAAATAATGAGCTGAACATCACTCACTAGGGCTAACGTATATGTTAGAAGTATTTTTTTATCTCAAGTAATTTTTTTTCATTTTTTTCGTTTTTGGGTATGGTAATGTATGCTAATTGTTGAAAAAGAAACGAAAAAAAAAAATTACCTGAGATAAAAAAAAAAAAACCTACTGACAACATATATGTTTTGATATTCGGGTACAAAACACTGAATACATGATCTGTAGAAGCAAATCGGTTAAAAAGTTGAAATGACATTGAAAGAATTATGATATGAAGGAGTGTCTCCATACCGAGCGACCAATCTTACTTACATTAAAATGTTAAACAAATTTAAATTTGTCGTTTTTCGCACAGTCAGCAGCTATGCAAATTTCGTGGAACATAAGAATTTGCACATGAAAAAAGAGTTCAATCCCCACAGGTCTCCACAGGACTTTTTTGTACACCAATATGGCCGCAGTGACGTCATGTAAAATCTATCTCTATACGCCGAATTCAAATTGTATTATTAAAAAAACAGTTAGATGTTTAGAAACAATCAAGCAGTGTTTAATCAAACATACTGAAAATTGTTAAGAAAGAGTGCATTCAATTTCACGGAAGATGAATATTGTTCTCTATGTAAGTTTCAATTCAAAATAATGTGTTATACACAGCAGTTGAAATTTGTGCTTAAAGTTATCAGATTTCTAAGTTGAGGGGAAGGATAAGTGTAGGAGTGAAATAATCTTGATTGTTCCTCAGATAATGAAGCAGGTGATTTTAAAAAAGTCGATCAAGGCGAGCTGTAAGTCATTACATCAGACTGTTATCACTCCGAATGGGAGACTTCGGGAGGAAAAAGGAAATGTTCTTGATAGAGGAACTAGATTTAATAGTGGTTATTAAATCCTAAACCAATTATTTCACTAAATATTGTGTAATTTCTGTGCAACATACGAGTTTGTCGGTCTGTTTCTTTTTTCTTGCATACCGGGATATGTTTTCGACTTTGTCCCAACACCTCTAGCATCTGGAGGTGTTGGCTTTTTCATTCACGAATTACTAAATTACACAGTTTTAGAAAAGATCTCTAATGAAGCTTTTCAAGCCCTTTGGATTGAAATATCTTTTGCAAATAACAAAAACATTGTCTGTGGTATAATATATCGCCAACACAATTCTCCGGATCAGTTCATGTCTTACTTCGAAGAAACCATCGAAAAATTGACATCTCTTAATAAAAATGTATTTATCATGGGCGATTTCAACATAGATCTATTGAAATGCGAAACATCTCAAATTAGCCATGACTTCTTAATGTCCTTACAAAGTTGCTATCTCATTCCAACAGTTGATAAGCCCACTGAGTCCATAGGAACTCAGCTACGTTAATTGATAATATCTTTTAAACAACCCTGACCAAATACTTTCAGCGGTAACATCATCTCCGATATTAGCGATCACTTCTCTCAATTTTGCATAATCAAAGCAGCAAGAGATAAATATAGAGGGTACACTACCAAGATACGCGATTTTTTCTAATTTTTCCGCAGACCAATTCAATAGGAACTCTGAGGTTGACTGGGAATGTATCCTCGTAAATCATGCAACTGATCCAGACAAATTATTTTCAACTTTATATAAGAAATTTAATAAGATTGTAAACAAACATGCTCCCATTACAAAGTTATCAAAGCGTAAAGCCAAACAGCTTTTAAGCCTTGGATTACTACTGGATTAAAAGCATCCATTATGGTTAAAAACAAATTGTATGTGTCCGGTGACGAAGACAAATACAAATATTATAGAAACAAAATTTGTAGCCTGATACGTCTAAGTAAAAAGATATACTATCAGGATTATTTCGAACGCCACAAAACAAACATGAAAAAGACATGGGAAGGAATAAATGACGTCTTGCATCGCAGAAAGAAGACCAAAATTATAACTGCTATTAAAGGGACTGGTTCACGATAATGCGCATGCGCGCCGTTTGTCTCTTCAGAATAAATTTGTTGGGTCAACACTAAATTCGAAATCGCCATTACCGGTACAATCATTGAAAATCCTTCGTTTTATTCGGACATCCGTCGCTTTGGCTGGTCTAGTTATACTTCGGTAGTGGTGATTAACGTGTGGTTGTGTCGTTTGACTGGTTACGTTTTCAGAAGACGCAAAAAATAAGGTTTTTATCATGGAGGTTCAGAAGAGCATCGTGGCCGTCCGGCAACAGGACGTTCTCAAGAGTCTTTGGAGATAGAGAAGCTTAGCCTATCGATCTGGTATGGTTCTGGGAGTAGTGTGTGGCTTACGAAAAGTATATACGACACTTGGAAAGCGGTTAAAGGCATGAGTTCGTTCAACTTTGATTTGATTTTTGACTCCGACCTGTAGTTATACCGCAACAGGCTGCGCGATCTTCACCGATCTGGTACACTTGAAATGTTCCTTGTATCTTTGCTTTACGATCGTATATGTTTAAGAATTGATGTTTTTGAAATAAATTATTGCCTGAGTATTCTGTTTATAATCTAGTTTCTTTATGTGTGCTACTCGATAACATTTGTTTTGCGCAACACTGACCCGATGCAACGCGAATGAATTTGTTCATTTGCTGATAAGCATTTGAAATTTATGCTCAATTAAGGATAAACTTTATACTCATACGTTGTATGTTTTTGTCACCGGTCAGGTGCTATTTGTAGGATCTGGATTTATATAAGGCGAACTGACAGTAATAAGATGTTTGTTTACAAATTTTGTTTGCCAATCGGTGACTGCTTTGTTAGTGTGGGTACGACCTCGTAAAAATACACGTTGGTAAATGTTTGTTTCAAAGCAGGACAGGGCTGTTAATCTTATTCTTATCGGCCGCAACATATATCTGAGGAGTAGCAAAGAATAAACTTGAATTATGGGGATAAATAAAATCAAACCAAATGCCCGGAAATACTCTCGCGTCGCGAACAATTAATTTGAATTTTTTTTAAATTTACTTGCATGCATCTAATTCGCTTCCGATTGGTTGAAAAACAATCAGCTACTGTCAGAACTCACACATGCGCATTATCGTGAACCAGTCCCTTTAAGGACCCGAATAAGAGCAACAAAATCGTAAAAGAACCTTCACAGGTCGCTAATATTCTTAATGACCATTTTTCGTCTGTAGGAAATAGGCTAGCTAGCACAATTCCAACGCCACAACAACATTATCTTAATTACGTTAGTCATTGCAAAGCACCATCTTCATCTTTTCTATTCTTACCGGTAACGTCC